CTTAAGGATCCAGCATTGCCCAGAAGGAAACTCAAGCCCAGCCAGCAGTGCTGGCGCAGGAGACAGAGGTTGTGATCCTGCCTTGCACCTGTGACACCAGTGATACACATTACAGTCTCCTCAAGTAAAAGCAGCTCAGCAGTGGGGACATAGTCTTCCTCATTCATCAGGATTCTTAAAACCAGCAAAGTGAAAGAGAAGGTTGCTACTCACTGCATTTCCAGAGGCCCAGCAAATTCGTCCAGTTTGTCATTTCAGCTTCATAACTGGGTGATCAGTAGGATATTTCTGTACATTGAATGAGGCTACAGTGATAGAACTGCTGGAGGGAGGTGTACAAAAAGTCAAACATCTGCCTGAGACAGCCACCCATGTGGGGACCAGGCCACGGAGTCACCATCCCAGACAGAAAAGGGCCAGAGTTGTGGCAGCAAAGGTGTAGTGTTGGAGGAAGATGCTTACTCTGAGAAAACACTTCTCCAGGTTCATGACCACAGCAGGAGTCACCATTAAACAAAACATCCATTTCCCTGAAGCAGCCTCAGCCTCCTGGGTAGTTGGGATTACAGACATGCACCACCATGCTTGACTTCAGTTAAATTCTAAAGGTGCCCACCATGTGACAAATTTTATACTAAGGCTATGTTTTCTATTCTTAATTTCTCTATTTTGTTAGGTAGATTTTTCTCACTGTGAAATTTAAAAGAGGAAAGGTTTTTATTTTTTTTTGGCTCATGATTTCAGTCCATGGTTAGCCAGCTCCATTTCTTTTATACACGTTGTGAGGCAGAAACATCATGAGGATGAACATGGCAGAGGAGAGGTACTCAACTCACGGAGAGAGGGGGAGTGGTGACAGTGCCTGTAAGCTTCTTTCTTCTTCCCCTTTTGTTGTACTCAGGCTGGAGCTTATCACATATTGCCTCCCATAGTCTAGGAAGATCTCCACCCTCAGTTTGCTGTCCCAGGGCCAATCATGTCGGGAAACTCCCTCTAAAGCACATCCAAAAGTGTGCTCTGTGAATTTTTTAGATGTTTCTCAATCCAATCAGGTTGACAATCATAATTAACCATCACATCCAGCATGCAAAGGCGGTTTCCTAACTGAAGGTCTACTTTGTCCCTTACCAGTCATATTCCTAAAATGATCAACAAGGTCTCTTACAACAATGCTCTTACAAGGAAGTGTACAGAGGCTCTCTCCCACAGAGACATGAATTTTTTTAGTGTATGTGCTGCCAACGCAAGTATAAGACACAGATCTTTTTATTTGCAATCATCAGTTTTTTAATATATTAAATCCCCCTATTAAAATAATGTTTCCACATGCTTTATTTAGTGTAATTGACCTGTTTGTTTCATTTTAGTTCAATGTAGGGCAGCCAGAAGGCAGAGAGAGGGAAGATCAGAGAGAAAGGGGCCCTGGGTAAAATCTAGTCCCCAAGGGCACACTTTCATGGCCCACTCACTGCAGTGTGTGCCCACCACATGTTTCCATCATTTCCCACTAATATCTCAAATGATGAATTCATCAGTGGATTAATCCAGTGATGCAGTTAGAGCCCTCATAACCCAGTACATTTCCAAAGGCCCCACCTTTGAACATATAAACCTTTTGGAGGGCATAATTAATCCAAAGCATCACAAAGGCAATTTTAAAATCACATCGTTTATATAGGTAAGCGTTTCTAACTTTCAAAGTATGGATAATTTATGATGTATTCACACTGAACCATTAAATTTTATTTTATGGAACTAGTCTAACTTAAGGTAACACCTAAAAAGATAGTATAATAGATTTTTTTTTTTTGGTACCAGGGATTGAACTTGGGTCCTTGTGCTTGCGCAGCAGGCGACAAAACCACTGAGCTAAATCCCCAGCCCTAAAAGATAGTATAATAAATACATTAACTCCACTTTCTCATCCCCTAGAATGGGAATGAATACTTGGTTGAACAGATATACAGACTTAAATTAAGAAATTAAAAAAGAGACAGTATGTTAGCAGAATAGTGCAGCTTAATTTTTATAAAACATATTCACTTATATATAGAATTGTTCAAAAAGTAATTGAATATCTGATGTGGGACAAATTTTAAGCTGAGAACTCATTCCATTTAATGGCTTAATTACAATCTCTACATAAAAAATTCAGTTCCAGGGAGGGGATTTAGCTCAGTGGTTCTGCCTCCTGCTTTGAAAGCGCAAGGTCCCAAGTTCGATCCCCAGTACCAAAAAAAAAAAAAGTTCAGTTCCTGTATCACATTTTGCTCCATGCCAATCTTATCCACTAAATAATCAATAATTACTGGCTCTTAGATGGATTGTTAATGGGCAGAAAATGAGTCTCTTTTTGAGCTTGTCCTTCATTCTAGCTGTCCTCCAAAAACATTCAGCGCCAGCATGTGGATCATTTTGTACACCTCCAGGCCTGTTAAGCTCAATTAATGCTCCATTAGCCCAGCATTTTCTTCTTTCCAATGCCCTCCTTTCACCTCTGGCCTCACTTTTGGGTGCCTTAAAGTTAGAGTGGTAGTGGTTGGTTGAAAATGATCCTGTACTTTACTTTAACTTCCTCTTAAATTTGCATTTGGGAAGCAGAAATATGGGTAAAAATCTTTAAGGAATCATCTTTTTACAATTTTAAAAGCTAATTTAAATTGTGGTAAAAGGTGTATAAGAGTTACCTTCTTTATCATTTTGAGTTACACAGTTTATGGTTGGTTATTAAATACATTCACATTGTTGTGCAACCATCCATTTCTATAAGTTTTCATTCTGTAGAAGCTGAAACTCTGTACTATACTATTTTTAAAGCTAAGCATCATCCCAAGTTATTTTGTATTCTTCCTATATATCAGGACAGATATCTATTTGTGAGTGATTTTCTAGAATGTCTTTCTAGCATAGCTCTGTATCAACTTATGACAATGTGACTGGGAATCCAGCAAGCCAAGAATTTCTCTGTGAACTTCTTTTGGTCTTAGTGCTGTGGGCCAGGTCTGTTATTTCTCTCTGGAGCTGTGAACTCTCCAAGGCTTATCTTCTCTCCTGGGGTGTTGGCTTCATCTATGATCAGGCTTTTTGGATGGCCTTTTCTACCCAATGTCAAGGAGAGACAAAATATGTAATGGGCTTGGCATTTGAAAGTGGCCAAGGTCAGGGGGTGAAATCTGAGGGTGCAAGGGGCCAGGGGTGTGTGGGGGGATAGGGAAAGTTGGGGGGGGCATCTGGCCATTCCTCCTCAGTCACCACAAGACTTGTGTGACATTGTGATTTAGAAGATGGAAGGGAGGAAAAAAATGAATACATGAAACTAAATAATATTGGGGAGCGGATTTCTTTTTTTTTTCTGGTACTGGGGATCAAATTCAGGACCTTGTGTTTGCGAGGCAGTGGAACCACTGAGCTAAACTTGGATTTCTCACTTTAGTGTATATCTAATTAAATCAGTTAATTTTGTATAAATGCAAGCTCTTGGTCTCCTCAAATTGAAGAATAAATATGAAGACAAAAGGAGGAATTTAGGAGTGTGTTCATTGGAAATAATAATAAGAAAAAAGCTCTTGGTGGATACCCAAGAGAAAAAAGAAGTCCAATATGTTTTCTTTGAGTTGACCTTAAATAGATAGGCAGAGCATGGGGACTTGTTCCAAGGAAATGAATTCAAAAGAGTCCAGAAAGAAACTGGTTATCTTGTAATTCTAATGTTTTCTCAAAGTTCAGTTGAAGTCGGGTTCTGGAGGTAGGGAAGGAGCTGTTTAACAAATTTAGCGGGCCCTGGGTAAGAGTCTTCTTCCTGGAAGGAAGTGTCCTTATTTCTCTTATTGTAGCTTTTCTTTTTCTTCTTGTGTTTACCTTTGCATCTCTAAGCTTGGCTTAGCTGCTTGAATTAGCTCTTAACTTGGTTGGGCTATTTTTTTTTTATCTGACTCTATTATTAGGCCCCTCTGTCTACTTATAGTAACTAAATTGAATTACTACATTAGTATCTATTCACAGGTTGACTCTGGACTTGTGAGTTCTTTTATGAATCTGTGGAGAGTGAACTTGAAGAACCAGACTGGGCAAAGGACTGATCCATGTGAAAAGCATCATTGTGCCTAGACCTCTATCAGGGTATACCATTAGCACTTGCTTCATTCTCGTAGATGTTTACCTTACCTTGGGGTTAATGAAATAGAGGGAGAATTGATCTCAGATCATTCCATAGGGATTGACTAATTTAAATTATGATGTTTCTTCTTTCTAGGATTCATATGTTTTCACTTTTCAATGATTCTGAAATTCAGGAATATAATATTCAGTGTTGATTAGAGAAGTTGACTCCCTCCCTGTTTCTTATTTAGTAAGTAACATTCCTAAAAATTGATATCATTGTAGAAATAGGGAAGATGATCTTTTAAATAGTAGTGATTTCTCAGAGATCACCTATTCACCCTTTTTGTTTCATTTAATAAATACTAATTGAAAACCTAATAAATGTGATTTATTGCTCTATATGTTGGGGTAGATTGCTGAAGAACTTAGAATCACTCAATAATGAGTTGACTTATTACTCTCTTGTGACTTTTAACTCTAAACCCTTTTTTAAAATGACATTTCAATGGATTGCAGGCTACCACACAAAGGACACGTGAGAACGTAAAGTCTTGTATTAAAGTTGTCAAGATAATCGATATCTTCCCAGCTACAGAGACTCCATGGGATACACTATAAACAAGAATATCCATGTCAGGTAGAGTCATATGAACAAAAAAGATCTTAGAAGTCATGATAACTGTTCTTTCAGTTGACAAAAGCCATCTGAAGACTGATGTATACTTTATAAATGAGGTCAGAGACAAGAACATACTTCTGACTTTAGAAGGGGTCTGAGAAAACATTCACCCCAGGGCATTTCCTGTCCACAAGGGGGTGCAGCTTTCTAAACAAGCCTAGACAGTAAACTTTCCCTATGACTTCAAGTTCTTCATGCAGAGAATCACAAATAGTACTTAGGTGCCTTTCTAAAGATGAATGCTTCTCCACATGTAGTGGCCATGATAGTCTTAACATTTGGTAAGTAAAATATCTTTTACAATTTGGACTCCTCTGTATTCAGCCACAAAGAAGGATAAATCTGAGTCATTTTTAGGATGATAGTTGTACCTTGAGACCATAATCCTAAGTGAAATAAATCAGAAGCAGAAGGTTAAATATTGCATAGTTTCTGTAATGAGAAGTCCACAGTATAAATAATTTAAAGAGCAAAATAAAACATAGATGATAGGAAACAGAGAGACAGACTTTGTGGAGGTGGGTAGGGAATCTGGAGATGGGGGAGATGGAAAGAAGAGGAAGGGACGGGAAAGTAAAAAAGATTAAGATGAGATACATATATGTACCAGTTCCCCACTGTGAATCCATTAAGCTTATAAGTACATTTTAGGTATAAAATACAGTGACATTCATCAGTGGGATCTCGTACCATTACATGAGTATCTCGGTTATTTTTGTGAATCTATTTTTTATATATCACAAACATATACTAAGAAAAAAAAATCTTAAAAAATACAGTTATTTTATGATGTTAGCAAAGTTTTTAACCATAAATATGTCTGTAGGCTTTATACCAAAGGTGATTCAAGTCTCTTTTTTCTCTAGGAGGGATCCACGGAGACTCAGTGACCCAGATGCCAGGGCAAACGACTGTCTCAGAAGGGGTTTTCCTCACTGTTAACTGCACTTATACAGCTAAAGCCACAAATTACCCATCTCTTTTCTGGTATGTCCAGTACCCTGGAAAAACTCCACAGCTCCTCTTCAGAGTCTCAAAGGCCAAGGACAAAGGAGGCAACAAAGGTTTTGAAGCCACATATGATAAAGAAACCAGCTCCTTTCACTTGGAGAAATTCTCAGTGCAAGAGTCAGACTCAGCTGTGTACTACTGCGCCCTGAGTGACACAGTGGTGGGAACTGCAGGGGGAGCTGAGCACCAACTTTGAGTGATGACAAAGGATCTAGTTGCTGAGTGTCTGCTGGAGGGATCCACTGTGGCTTCAGCAGTCTGTAGTGTGTTCTGTGGCCTTTCATTTCTATGGCTGATGCAAAATCAAACAAATGTCCAGAGCAGAAGAAGTTAATATCTCCCACACTCAGTTTTTCATTAGTGAACTGAAAAGAGTCTTGTGCTGCCAGTTCCTCACATAGTAATTTCCAGTCCAAAGTACATAAACAAGTAATTTCAAAGTACATAAACAAAGAAGTGGTCTCTGTGCTCTTGCTTACAAAGCCCAACTCCCACACGTTGTTCCAGGTTACTGTGCTAGACTTTGTGGTGTCTTATTTTAGTTTTAGGACTCAACTATGCCAGAGAAGGTGATGCCTGCATAATGTCTCCCTAACAGAGTATGGTAATAGAGTTGATGGGAGAGCCACATTGCTTCTCAAAACTCAGGATTTTTTTTTTTTTTTTTGAGACAGGATATTGTTATGTTGCCTAGGCTGGTCTTCAACTCTGATTCTACTGCCTCAGCCTCTTGAGAGTTGGGAATTCAGGCATGAGCCACCATGCCTGGCAAAATCCCAGATTCTTAATGGGGAATGAAAGAGAAGAATACAAGAAGAGAAACAGGACTTCACTTGCAGTGATGATACAAAGAGAGGAAAGGGGTTTTCATTATGCAGAGGAAGAAGAGTTCTTTTCTTTTTTTTGGGATAAATCAGAGGGTAGAAAAAGATGATGCTCAAAAGAAAGGGAGAGAACAAAAGTACAATTGGAGGAGTGAGTGATGCCTAAATGGTGAGGATCTCTGGCCAGTTGCATAGATAATTTGACTTTGTAGCAAAGCCTTGAGGGAGTTTAGTGGCAGTGGAAGGTTAAGCATGTATTTTTATCCTGTGTCTCTGGAAACCCTATTAAAAAGACAGGAAAGAAATTTCAAAGGGTGCAAACACACAAAGAGTATGGGAAAGGAGATGAGAGCATACAGACCAGTATAAGATGAAGCCTGAGCTTCTTGAGAGAAACCACCAAGGAGCACTGGATGTGGTTCCTCTTTGGAAGGTGTAGGAATCAGAAGCACCAATAACTCTGAAATCATTGAGGAAGATATGTATGTGTGTGTTTGTGTGTGTGTGTTGCATGTTTCAATGGGAAAGGTTGCAAAAAGAAAATCTAGTGAGAATATATACAAGTAAAAGACCACCTATGCTTTCTGCCATATCCTAGAAAACAATGATCACTTTTCCAAACCAGAAAAAAAAACCCCTGGAAATATATTTCATGACTTGAAAACACATTAGAAAGAAGTAAGAAAAACACAACTAAAATAGAAAAATATATCAGTCAATAATTCATATATCGAAAAATATTACCCAAGACAAGGAACATTCAAAGTAGTCTGTGTGGTTCAAATAATTGTTCCTAAGAAATACTTCACTATCTTTAGCAATGATTGAGTGGAATATCCAATTTTCCCAAACCTTGTGTATTACCAAGCTGGTTGACTTCTGTTTATTAGTTAGGATTTATATTTGCAGAAGTAATTTAATTATAAATCAAATGGAACTTTATTGAACATATTTAAGACATTTAAACTTTTCTGAATGTTGTCCATTTATATATCTGCCCATTTAAAAATGTTATTTTCTGTGTTCTTCAATCCACCTTTGTTCCACATATGATATATTAGCAAACTTCCAATCTTTTAAATTTTTTAAATTAGAATATGTTTGTGATACATAATAATTACGTTTATTTTAGGGAATTGATACATACTCATGTTGTATCTTGATCATTTCTAATTCCTTCCTGGCTGTTATGGTTTAGATTTAGAATGTTCCCCAAAAGTTTCATTGTGTTCAAAGGTAGAACATTCAGAGGGTGATTGGATTATGGGAACACTATTACTAACAAGTGGATCAATCTACTGATGAACAAATAGGCAAATGTGGTGTTAGGAGGTGGACTTATGTGTTCCCCCTCAGAGGCTCCCTTTGCTTTCTGCTTCCTGGTCACCATCACACGGGCAGATTTCCTATACCTAAATCCTTCTGCCACAACATTTCTACCATGGCCTCAGTTGACCATGGACTGAAAATGTGAAGCAAAATAAATGTCTTTCTTTAAGATGAGGGTTAAAGTATTTTGTCCCAGTGAAGTGAAAGTGATTAAAACAGAGTTTGATACCAAAAGTAAGTCCTTGCTGTGACTATACCTGACTATGTGATTCAGAGCCTTTGGAAATGGTTTGTGGGAAAATTCTGGAGAGGTTTGGAGATATAAGTTAGAGAAGTCTTAGAATACTATAAGCTATGCTTGATGGGAGATTCTGGTCAGAGATCAGAAGACCAGATGCTGATAGATATACAGACAGCAATGACCAGGCTCAGAGGTTTCAGTTAGAAACAAAGACTCCATTGACAGTTGGCCTAGAGGCCATGTAGATGATGCTCTGACAGAAAGGTTTGTCTATGTTTTTCCCATATTCTGAGACATTGTAGGATACTTAGATTAAAGGTAAGGGACTAACTGATCTGTTGAAGGGAATTTGAAGACAGCTCAGTGTTCAGGGTGTGTCTTAGGAACTGTTGAGAGCTTTTAGCTAGATCTACATTGAGAATCAAAGCAAACATTACAGCTGAATGATTTAAAAATTTTTGGGTTTCACCAGAAAGGAGGTGCCTGCTAAGTTGTAGAAAAGAAGAGTGTGACTGCTGAAAAGACTAGCATTAAAAAGAAACTAAATGCTTTGCATCGGGACTCCTTGAGGGTGTCTCAGGAAAGCAAGGCCCCACTCTTCAGCTCAAGGGTGTCAAGGTGTAAAAACAAACTCCTTAGAAAGATTTTGCTTTGACTTTCAGAGGTTTTCTTTTTTGTGTGTGTGATACTGGGGATCAAACTCAGGACCTTGTGCTTGCCAGGCAGGTGCAGTGCCACTGTGCTACATCCCTGGCCTGAAAGATTTTGCTTTGAGAAGAGTGACCAAGGGTGGCTTGCTCCAGAAGAGCAGTCCAGGGAATTGATTCCCTGAGATTTGTCTCAGAGTGCTTAGCCATTCAGGTCTTTAGAAGTTTTTGTAGCCATGATTTGAGGATGTCTGGCTGCTGCTCAAGCTGTCACCAGAATTTGGCGTCATCCATGTGGTGCTATTTTTTTTTTTTTAGGCTTTCATAATGCAAGAGGTGTTGGGTCAGTGAGGCTTCAACCCAGATTTCAGAGGAAGGCCTGGGAGGCCAGGGAGTTTGTCCCAGAAAAGTGTGAATCTATGAAAATGAATGGGGAGGTATACTGGAGATAGTAAGAGGCAAGATATTCCAGAAACATGAAACATTTGCTAAGTAAAGCACAACTATCCCAAGAGAGAGGGCATAAATAAAGGCTACAATTGGCAATGCCATAGGGGCAAGGCCACTGAAGTCATTTGGTGGTCATATCTCACCACAGATTGTCCCAGGTGTTATACTGGTATCTACAGGATTTAATGTTTACCTTGCTAGGTTTTGGTCTTCCTTTGGTTCCATTCTTTTTCTGTTCCCTTCTTCCTCCTTTTTGGAATGGGATTCCAATGTGCCATTGTATGTTGGGAGTATTTAAGTTTCTTTTTGATTTTTATGGGGCTCACAGCCAAGAGTGTGCATTAAATGCCAGAGAAGATTTTGAACTTGGACTTTTCAGGGATGGTGAACTGTTAAAACTTGGTGACTCGTAGAGAGGGACTCAACGTACATGAGTTTTGAGGGCCAGGGGCAGAATATTATAATTTATTTTTGTAAAGGTTAATGTGTTCAGAGGTAGGACATTTGGAAGATGATTTGTTCATTCTCGCCAGTGGATTAGTCCGCCAATGAATCCATAGCCAAGTGTGCTGTTAGGAGGTGGTCATAGCCAAAAGAAGTAGAAGAGGCTAATCAGTGGGGGCGTAGACTGGAAGGGTGTATCTCCTACACTGGTGGCTCCCTTTTCTCTCTTCTTTCTGGCCTCCATGAGAGGAGTAGCTTCCCTCCACCCAGACCCTCCCACCTTGCCATTTTTGCCTTAAAGCCAGCCAATTATGGACTGAAAACGTTAGTCAAAATAAATTTGTCCTCCTTCAGGTTGTGGGTTTTGGCTATTTTTTCCCACCAATGAGAATGTGACTGATATACCTGCCCTATCTTTGCCTCCTTACCCACATCTCCTTCCCATCTCCCTAGCTATGGCCCTTTTTTTCTACCATCTCTCTTTTGTTTTTCTCTTTAAATTATTTACATTTTGGATTTCTCATATTAGAGAAACCAAATGATATTTAACCTTCTGTATCTGGTTTATTTCACTTATCATTATGGTCCTATTTTCTTGCAAAAGACAAATTTATCCTTTTTTATAGTTGAGTAGTAATTCATTATTTATATATATCATATATATATCATATATCATATCTATCATATATATGATATATATATCATATATATCATATATATCACATATATGATATATATCATATATATATCATATATATCACATATATGATATATATATATATCATATTTCCTTTCTCCATATACCTGTTGTTAGGTATGTAGGTTGCTTCCATAATTAGCTATTGTGAATTATGTGGCTCTAAACATGGGTCTGCATGTATGAGTGTAATACTATGACTTTAACTTTCTTGAAGATAACTGGAAGAGTGCTGAAAAACAGAATCACTCAATAATGAGTTGACTTATTACTCCCTGTGATTTTAACCCAAAACTCTATTTATAATATTTCAATAAATTGCAGACTATCACACAATAGTCCCATAAGAATGTAAAGTCCTGTATTAAAATCTCCAAGGAAATTGATATCTTCTCGACTATAAAGACCCCACTGGATACTCTATGGACAAGAACATCCATATAAGAACATCCATATGAGGTGGAATCCTAAGAATAAAAAAGACCTTAGAGGTCATTGACAAGAGCCACACGAAGACTGGCATATGTTTAATATAATTTATTCTTATGTTATCCTCTTAGAGCT